TTAACAACTGTCCCTTTGTCAATCTTTGGGGTCGAGTGGGAAGTTTCCAGCAAGCCACCTGCAAAGGGGAGAAGGTCTAACATGGCGGCCCTTGCTGTTCACCCTAACACTGTCAGCTCTTTCTTGTTTTGTTTTTCTTTCCTTCCTTCCTTCTTTCCTTCCTCCCTGCCTTCCTTCCTTCCTCCTCCTTCTCCTTCCTCTTCACCATGTACAGGCTCTTGCTGGTCTAGAACTCAAGAACCTCCTGCCTCAGCTTCTCAAGTGCTGAGATTACAGGCATGAGCCACCACACCTGCTCATTAGTCTGAGATTGCCATCTTATTTCCCCATCTGTGTTCTTTCACCCCTGAAGTGGGAATAACACCTAACTCACAGAGTTATTATGAAGATTATATGCAGAAGGTGCTGGAACTTTGCCTAACACAAACTAAACCTTCCATGGGGCTTGGTTTTTGTTATGACCTCATATTTTCCCTGCTTATACTCTCCTGAAATTTCCTTCTAAAATAATTTTTGGCAGTACTGAGATTTGAACTCAGGGCCCTACGCTTGCTAGGCAGGCAATCTACCACTTGAGCCACTCCAACAGCACTTTTTGCTCTGGGTACCTTTGAGATAAGGTCTTACTTTACGCCAGGGCCAGCCTGGACCACAATCTTCCTGTTTGTGCTCCCCACTTAGCAGATGCATACCACCACACCCAGTCATTGCTTGAGATGGGGGTGGGGAGTCTCCTGAACTTTTTGCCTAGCCTGCAATCTCCACCTCCTCCAAGTAGCTAGGATTACAAGTTTGAGTCCTTACACCAGGCCCTAAAACAATTTATTTATGGAAGACTTTGTCAGAGTTCGTTAATTTGAAGGGAACATGAAGGTCACTTATCGAATGGGTGGAGTTGAGGGCCTCCTTGGTTAGTAGAAGTTTCTCCACTCCCCTCCTTTTCCCAACTCCCCCACCCCGTGGCTCTCAACAATTCCTCCCCAATCCACCCACCCCATATTGTAGTAAGGCAGCCCCCAGGGGTCGTCAAGAGCTGGACAGCATCCACCGCCATGTTGGAAGTGGAGTTCCAATTCAAGCTCCACCACTTCCCGGGTGTTTGATGTTGAGCAATGAACTTCCCCGCTCTGAGCCTCTGTTTCCTATTTGGAAAACAGGAGTGGGTGTAATGAAATCCTTTAGTCATTGAGTCAACATTTCCTCTGGCTCCACTGGGCCAGGTCCCGTGCACGTACTTAAGCGGCAGCTGTGAGTCAGCCCCAGTGCCTGCCTTTGAAGGATCTGGAGATCTGGTGGGGGAGATGGCTGTGGTCCAGGGTGATTGGAGGGAGTCCCCGATGGTGGGAAGTCATATGAGGAAGCGACTGCCCCTTTCACAGCAGGTGGACATTGGGTGGTGTTCAGGGAAGGCTGGCTGGAGGAGGTGATATTCAGACAAAGACTGGAAGGGCAAGTTGTCAGGAAAAGCAAACAGTAGGACTGAAGGCTCAGAGGCCAGAGGGCATGGTGTGGTTCAAGGACACAGGACAAGGTCAGGAGGGCTGGGGCACAGACAAGTGGGCAGAGCGCATGCTGAAGGTAACCACTCACACCCGTGGCCCTTGGTGGCTCAAAAACTGAGATGTCTTGTAAAAATTTAAAAAATAAAGAAAGAAAAGAAAAGAAATCCCATTCCAGGTGCTTAGGGTGTCAAGGAATAATGCAAAAGAGTCCTTTACTAATTTTCTTTACTTTTTTTTTCTGGTGGTATGGGATTTGAACTCAGGGCCTAAGTTGGGCCATGCTCCCAGCCCCCTGTACTAATTTTGTTATTATTATAACAATTATTATAATTGCTCTCATTGAAATGGTAATAGTTTGAGTATCTTGAGTTAAATAAAATACAAAAACAAACTCTTGTTTCTTTGAACCTATGATTTTTCTTTCATTCTCTTAAATGCATTTTTATTGGGCAAGTAAAACCATATATACACTTACAGTGCAGAACATGTTTTGTTCGATGTATAGATGCATGATGAAATCACTGAGGCAAGTTATTTGACACATGCATTTCTGGGCATAATTACGTTTTTCTGATAAGAAAAGTTAATATCTTTTCATTTATTATTTTTGTATTGCTGGGGACAAAACCTAGGACTTTGTGCATGCTCTATCACTGAGCTACATCCCCAGCCCTCTGTATTGTTTTGTGACCACTAGAAAATGGGACTGTGCATGCATACAACGTGTGCCCCTCTTGACGAGTGAGTGCTTCTCTGGATGCTAAGGGTCCTTCCATACCAGGTTGAGAGGTGGGACTTTGTCCTGGGGGGACAGAGACCCAGGGTAGAGCTGTGAGAAGCAGGGAAACAGAATCAGCGCAGAGCAGGTGCAGGGAGACCCCCTCTGGGGCTCAGTGAGTGATACCAAGAACAGGAAGTGCCCAGGGTGATGGTCTAGGTAGGAGAGGGGCAGGTGGGGACAGTTAAGAGATGACCCCACAGATAGATGAGACAGTGGGACAGGGTTGGGGGTGTCAGTGGCTTGTGAGGGGTCACTGTGTCTGGGAGGGTGGCAGGTCCTACGTTCAGTGAGGACCCAATGTGAAGGGCTCAGAGAGCCTTCCTCCTGAGGTTGGGCTTGAGCAATCAAAAGTGGCAATTAGATTTAATCAAGGAAATAAAATTTCCCTGAGTGCCTAGCCTGAGTAGGTGGTGAGGCAGACATATTTAACTTATTTGCTAATGATTTCCCTGTAAGCCCCCATCTTCCTTCATCACTGTACCCCTCCTCAGGTCCCTCCACCCAGCCACACTCCCCCTCGCCCTGCAGCCCACACTGACCACTGCCTGCTGTTCCCACAGACGCCCCACCCCTCTCCTGTTGACTGACACTCATCTTGGCTTTCCATACCCAAGTTCAAAGATACCTCCCCAAATCCCTCTGGATTCCTCTATAACCTCCTGTTGCTCCAATTTCTCATCGTACCCCCATGTTGCTCTCCAGTCATCTGCATTCTGGCTTCTTTCTCCCTATCAGCCTGAAGCTCATCAGTGAGCCCTCAAATGCTCCTGTACCCCACTAGCCCCCCATTCCTCCTGTGCCATCCTTCTACTGCCTCAAGAACTTAATGCTATTCTGGACACAAACATATTTCTCCAGGGAACTGAGGAAGGGTACCCAGAAGAAAAGAAGCAGAAGAGTCATAGAATCAAAGAGAGGGAGAGACAGAGAGAGAGAGAGAGAGAGAGAGAATGGGAGGGGGAGAGGGAGAAGGGAAGACAGAGAAAGAGAGACAGAGAGAGAGAAAAGAAAGAGAGGGCAGAGATACAAATACAGAGACTTAGCTGAAGAGAGGGAGGCACAGGGAGACACACATGGAAATACCCCCACCAAGGAGGAACAGAGATAGAGCCAGAGACCCCAGAGGTTGACAAGCTTGGGGGAGAGGGACCTTGGGAGAGAGGGACCAGGAGCATCAAGAATTGTAAAATATCCAGGCCAGGGCCCCAGCAGGAGGTCAGGCAGGCAGGGACAAAGAAAAGTCATTGACATAGCCTCCCACCCACCTTCCTGGAAGAGAGGAGCACTGGGAGCATGGCACTGGACTCGGAATGGACAAAGCCTGATTGTTCAAGGGCCCTTTCCCCATAGCACCCAGGCCTGCTCTCCAGCCTGGGGCAGAGGTGGGGGCCAGTTTGGTGACGCACCCTTTCTTGCTGGCTGGGTACTCGAACTCTCGGGAGGATAGGGAGGTCGTCAGCATCCACAGAGGGACTTACAGGCAGGTGAGTCACCCCATCCCCACTGAACCTGGGCAGCTGGTTCCAGCACCCCAACGATCCAGACCCAGGAGGGAGAGCCTACACTCACAGATGGGGGCTGGGGGCTGGAGGCTGAGGCAGCATTTGCTTTTCTGAGAGGCTGCGTTTGGGTCCTCAGTCTGTGGCTTTCTCAAAAACCCAGAAATCTAAAACTAAGAACAAGTTCCCATCTTCCTTTACCTCAAGCCAGGAATCCAGCCCTCCTCAGTCTGAGCCTTCAGCCCTCCTCACTCGGACCCAGGCATCCAGACCCAAGACCTCTTCCCTCAGACCCAGGGATCCAGGCTCCAGTCCTCCTCCCTTAAATGTAAGGGTCCACTCCTGGGCGACCCCTGGCTCCCAGGGCTCGTTGCTCCCCTCCGGCCTCTGGGTCAGGGGTCACTGGTAGCAGAGTGCAGGGCAGAAGGAATGTACGTGGGAGGCCTAGGTGAGAAGGAAAAGGGTGGGGCTGGCCTCCTGGCTCAGAGACTTGGGAAGACAGGGGTTAAAAGGAAGTGCCAGGAGCGTCTGAGGACAGACCCAGCCTCTTCCTGCAAGGCCAAGGAGCCAGGCGGGCTTCTGCACAGCAGTCCCTGCAGCCCGAGAACCGAACCGAACCGAACCACAGCATCCTATCTGCTCTGAGTCTCCTCTCTCTCTTCCTTTCTCTCTTAGTCCCCTGCCTTGCTCACTCTCTCTGCCTCCCTGTCTATCTGTGATAAGGTGCTGTCCTTTCCCCCCTGACCCAAGAACCCTGTGACCAGTAGGCCACCAGCCACCGGCAGGTAAGAGCATATGCATCCCAAAGCCTACAGGTGTGGGGGTGGTGACACAGTAAGCACAGAGCCAAGGTACAGAGGGAAAGTGCCACCAACAGGAAGGTCAAGGACTCCCTAGGCTCACCATCTTGTTACTTGGAAGGGAAGGTAGGACCCATGGAAGTAGGAAAGGAAGGGTTACTTTGTCTAACTGGGAGCCACTGGGCCCAAAGACGTGGTCTGGATTCTCTCTGGCACCTGCCTTCGCAGAACTCTCAAATAGAAGGCATGGATTGAGGACACAGAAATCAGAGGAGGTCAGAGGGGAAGGACCAGAGGTCAAAGGCAGGAGGTCAGGGCAGCCAGGGAGGGAGGAGAGGTGAGGGGGACAGGCAGAGTCTTCAGTAGAGGTTGGGGCACTGACTAATGGAACTCTTGGCTTCCCTGCTTAGGACCGGCCATGAAGACGCTGATTGTATTGTTGGTTTTCCTTGCTGCAGGTGGGAAGAAAAAAATAAAGGTGGTGGAGGTTGGCAGATAGAGTGGGGGCTGTGTATGGGGAAGAACTTGGGGTGGGGGTGGCCTATGTCAAAGTATGGGGTTGGGATGGCTTTTAAACAAGGACCAAGCTGAGAAGGGATGGGGGTCTGGGAGGAAAGGAAGTCTTGGAGGTAAGAATTGAGGGAAGATGGAGACAGAGATGGAGAAAGGATGGGAGGTGAGGTTGAAAATGATGGTGAGGTTGAGGACAGGGTTGGATCTGAGATGGGATGGGAATGAGGACAGTCTTTGGTTGGGGCTCACCTTAGCCATCATACCTGGTGTGTCTAGACATCTCTCTGACTCAGACCCAATCTCCATCAGCCTGGGCAGAGGAGCAGGATAAGGTGACACATGGCGGACCTTGTGAGAAGGACTCTCACCCCTACCAAGCTGCACTCTACACCTCAGGACACTTGCTGTGCGGTGGTGTCCTCATTCACCCTCAGTGGGTGCTCACAGCTGCCCACTGCAAAAAACCGTGAGTGTCTCTGTCTCAAAGGAGGCAGGGATGTAAGGAGTCCCTTAGATGTCCTGGAGACTGCAGGCGGGAGGCAGGTAGGAGGCAGGCAGGAGACAGGCACGAGCATCCACTTGCCCCTGAGTGAGACCACCCCATAACCAGCTTCATTTGGCAAGTATTTAACAGGGCACAGTTGTCCCTCAGTATCCACAGGGGATTGGCTCCAGGAACCCCAAGGATGTCAAACTCCTCTGATTCTGTGGTCCCTTATATAAGATAGTTTGGTATTTATATATGCATTTTGGGGGGCTCAAGATCAAACCCAGGGCCTTGTTCATAGCTAAGCAAGGAGTCTACTAATGTGCCACACTTCCCCCAGGCCTTTTTGTTGTTGTTTTGATACTGGATCGCTCTAGGCTGCTCTAGAACTCGTGATCCTCCTGCCTCCAGATCCAGAGTGCTGGGATTACAGGCAATGCCACTATACCTGACACAACATTTTCTTTTTTCTTTCTTTTTTGGTGCTATTGGGGCTTGAACTCAGGGTCCCACACTTGCTAGGCAAGCACCCTACAACCTGAGCCACACCTCCAGTCCATGCCCCAGTATTTTCAGTCTTCACTTGTGGATCTGTGGATCAGAACCTGGGCATAGAGATGATTAACTCTATCAAATAGTGCAGTAAAAAATTTCAAAGTTCTAGAAGACAGAATCACCATTTGCTGAGCTGGGGGTGATTGGGAGGAGCAGGCCAGAAGATTTCTGATTCCCCAGCCCTCTCTGAAGCCCCAGCTGTAGTCCCAGGGCTCCAGATGAGACCCAGCTGCCTCCTTTCCAGGAAACTCGAGGTCTACCTGGGGAAGCACAACCTGCAGCAGAGGGAGAAATCACAAGAGCAGAACTCTGTTATCCGGACTGTGGTTCATCCCCACTACAATGCTGCCACCCATGACCAGGACATCATGCTGTTACGCCTGGCACGTCCTGTAAAATTCTCCAAATGGATCCAGCCACTGCCCCTGACAAGGGACTGCTCCATCAGACAAAACAGCTGCCATATCCTGGGCTGGGGCAAGACGGAAGATGGTCAGTAAGGGGAGATGGATGGGGAGCAAGCTAATGCGGGAGAATGAAGGGAGCCAAAGGATGAAGGGTAAAAGATGAATGTGGGACAGTGGACAGTAGGCCATGGGTCATGGGAAAAGAAGTTAACGGCAGGACCAATTGTCGAGGGTATCAATGAGCCAAGCGACAATGGAGAGAGAGGGAAGATTTAGAAGTTGAGCCAATGGGTGAACAGCCAACAGTGAAAGTAGACCAATGGTTGCATAGCATGGAAAAGATGGACCACAAAACTGAAGGGTCAATGAGAAAGGAAGGTCAGCAGTGATGCACTAAGCAGCAAGGAGGCCAAGGAGCAAAAGGATGCATTGGCAAACAAGAAAGAATTGAAGGAAGAACTAATGGAAGATGACTAATTGTAGCAGGGGAGCCAAGTGAAGTATGTGAATTGAGAGAGAGAATGGTGTAGAAAGAGTTAACGTGGATAGACCCAGAATGCAGCAGAGGTAGACAGCCATCCTGGGTCATAGAGACCCTCAAAAACAAACAATAAGTGAGTTCATGGAAAAGAGACCAATTGGGGAAGGGTCAGCAGTCAAGAGGTGTCACCAGAGGAATGACTACAGGGAAGAAACAGATCAGCAGGAGCCATTGAAGGTGGGCCTGTGAGTGAACAGCCAATAAAAAAAAAAGAATAGGCACTAATAAAGGGCCAATAGGAAATGAGAGGCAATGGAGGGTGGGATCAGTTAGGAAAGCACCAATGAGAGAGGTGGACCATTTAATGACGGACCAATAGGAAAGGAAAGCCAATGGGGCAGGAGCAATGGCCAAGTGGCAACTAATCTTACCAATGGGCAAGAAGGACAAAGTAATGCCCAAGAAAGGTACAGTACAGGAAGAAAGTTCTAGAGGTGAACAGGACAACTGCGGGAAGGTGGGCTCAATGGACACAAGTGGAGGCGGCACCTAAGAGAAAATTAGAACCAGTAGGAAATGAGGACTCCTGGAGAAGCAATGATTAATGAGGAAGCCAGGCCAATGGGAGGCAAGAATGATGGGAAAAGGGACCAATCAGAAGGTAGGGACTATGGAAATGTGTACTAAGTATGAGAGACAAATAGGGAGAAGGGAACCAATGGGAAATAGGAACAAATAGAGGAGAGTGGGCACAGGATGGCTGGGAGGATGTGGGAAGGGCGGGGCCTGGAGTCATCCTGGCCCATCTCTCCCTTTTCAGGTGGTTTTCCCGACGCCATCCAGTGTGCGTACATTCACCTGGTGCCCCGTGAGGAGTGTGAGCGTGCCTACCCCGGCCAGATCACCTCAAACATGGTGTGCGCGGGCGACGAGAAGTACGGGAAGGATTCCTGCCAGGTGAAGCAACCCAGACCTGCCAGTTAAGCAGCCCAGGGCAGAAACACCAAAATACAGCCAGAGATAAGGAGAGAGAGACACGGACCAAAGCAGAGCTGCGCAGAGACTGATAAAGACAGGCTCAGGACTGACAGAGCCTGAGCGATAGAGCACCTGCCTAGCAAGTATGAGGCCCTGAGTTCAAGTGTGAGGCCCCCAGTACCGCCAAAAAAGAAACTAAAAAAGAGCGAGAGAAAAGACAGATTGGGAGAGAAACAGAGACAGGAAAGAGGAAAGACTCGGTGCTAAATACAGTGACACAGTCACAGACAGGCAGAGATAAAAAGACAGCAGAGACAGGAAGTACAGAGACAAAATGGAGGAGAAACCAAGAACCAGAGAGACACAGTAAGGAAGCAGGCGGTATAACAGAGCCATCCTTCCTTAAACAGAGTCCCATCAGGATCCCTGCTTGGGAGTGCTGGAGGATGGGGACCCCGGCTGGAAAATGAGAAGGCTCTATCCTCACTCCTGAACATCTTTGACTTCTCTCATTGGCATTCCAGTCTCTCCTCTTTATTCCAAAATGACTCTAAGGCACTGAAAGACGTACTCAGACCAACTAAGAGGGCAAGAGGGACACAAACACAGAGGAAGTGATGCTCAGTGATCTGGAGGCAGAGAAGGGTCTGTCCAGAGCAAGAAGTGGAGAGAATTACGCATGGCACCTCTCTCTGCCCCTCTGCCTCTCACCACACTTCTCTGTCTGCGTTCTCTTTCGTTCTCTCTTTTACCTGTCTATACCTTTCTGGATCTTGGTGTTTCTGTCTCTGTCTTTCCCCATGTTTGAGTCTCTTTCAATTTCTATCTTTCTCTGTGCCTTCGTGGGCATCTTACTATCCATCTGTCTCTCTACTCCTGGGACTTTCTCTCTTTCTTCTCTCCATCCTTTGGGTTTCTGTACCTTGCTTTTTTCCCTCTTTCTTACAGGGTGATTCCGGAGGTCCGCTGGTATGTGGAGACTACCTCCGAGGCCTTGTGTCATGGGGTAATGTCCCCTGTGGATCCAAAGAGAAGCCAGGAGTCTACACTGACGTCTGCAGATACGTTGACTGGATCCAAAACACCATTAAAACCAAATGACATCAACTTTGGACCTATGACCTCACTGGCTGGCTCCAGACTCTCTCTCCCTAAGGCCTTCCTGTCCCTACCCCCTGCCCATATCTGACCCCTGCTGCTTAATAAAGGCACACAGTGACACAAGAGCATAGATTGTCCCTGACTTTGATATTACCCTAGTTCCACCCTGAAGCTTTACTCCGTGGGTTTAGTTGACTGAGATGGAATCTCAGCTCAGCCACTTACATTCTGTGTATCCTTGGGAATTACCTTCTTTCACAGTGTGAATGTTCTTGTCTGTAAAATGGGATTATATCGGCATATTCCAATTATGACAGTAGCCCTGGGGAACATAGAAGGTTTCAAACAAACAAAATACACGGAACAGTGTCTGGCCCACCATGCACTCCAGAAAGTGTGACTTTTATTATGAATGGTGCTGTTTGCTTTTATTCTGTTTGTGCCTTTTGGAAGTCTGGCTTTTCTCAATTCTTCTTTACCGCTCAATTTGGTTTCTACCTCTTCCAGGAAGTCACTCTGGACTCATTCACCTTGCGCTCTCTCCCCTTTGTAGCAGTAAAAGCAGAGAGGAGAGAGGGCTGGGAGACCATTGTGTAAGAGTGGTGGGAGATAGGACGAGAGAAGACAACAGGGCATAGATCTCAAAAGACCTCAGACACCAGCTTGAGAGGCTGGGACTTTGAGGACAATAGGGAGCCATAGTAGGGTTGTGAGTGAAAGCAGCAGTGAGACTCAAGGCAGGATGGACCAGAAGGAAGAGACTGGAGCTGGGAGAAAAGGAGGAGTTTGGGGTAATAGTGCAGGAAGAGAAGAAGGGGACTGAGCTGGGGCTGGGGCTAGAAGCAGTGGAGAGAGGCAGCTAAACACACATTCACCATACAGAGAAGGCCAGTGGATGGCGCTTGCACACATGGAACAACGTAGAAAATCTGGGGTGCGAGGATAGCTGCAGATCATCCTGGATCACAGAGGCCAGTGTTTGAGGCAGGAGAAATGGGTGTCATTGCTGGAAATGTAGGTCAACAGTAGACTATGTCAGCAGAAGAACTTGGAATTGGCCTTGAGGCCCTTTGAGATCTGACAGAAGGGTCAGATCTGGGTATTAGAAACACCTTAACATTTCTGTCTTAAGAACTAAAGAAATGTGACCTTTTATCAAGGGGAGAGGGAGAGTGGTTGACTTTTGTGAAGAAGCAGGCATGGGTGTGGCCCAGTCTGCCATGCTCAAACCTCTCTAGAAATTAGTTATTAATGGTAAATAGAGTCACAAGACTTACCATGGTCACCAGGAGGAACCCAATCAATGACTCTCCAGGCAAACTACAATCATCTTCAGTTCAATGAGAGCAAATTGTCCCCCTTAATGGAAAACAGGGATGACCACATCCATGACCACAGCACCAAGCCAAAATAGTTTTTAAGTACTTAGTAGTGCCTTTCAGCCACTGTTTTAAGTGCTTTACAAACATTTCATGTTTTTTGTTGGTACTGAGGCTTGAACTCAGGGCCTCTCACTTACTAGGCAGGCACTCTACCACTTGAGCCATTCTGCCATGATGTAAAGCACTGATGTAAAGCACTGATGCAGCTCCTTTAATCCTCACAGCAAGCCTATGAGGTGGGTACTGTTATTTTTCCCACTTCACAGATAGGGAAACTGAAGCAGAGAGAAAGTCTCTGGTGTGGACAAAGTCTCACAGCTGGGGGGGGGGTGGCCAAGCCAGAGCCTGGATGCCAGGGGGCTGATGCCACAGACAGTTGGGGCTCTGAACTGTTCTTTTACACTGAAGCCTTCTTTTAATTCTGACATGTTTTAGAACCGAACCTAGAAAGATTTAAAGTTTGTCTCTTAGCATGAATTATTTTTAAGCAGAATCTCTGCCCACTTGGTATTTAAGTCTAAGATAATTTTTCCTAATACAGGGACAGCCTTTGACTTTAGCTTAAAATGATGTGTGATTTTTTCTTTTGTTTTCTTCTTCTTCTTCTTCTTCTTCTTCTTCTTCTTCTTCTTCTTCTTCTTCTTCTTCTTCTTCTTCTTCTTCTTCCTCTCTCTTCTCTCTCTCTCTCTCTCTCTCTCTCTCTCTCTCTCTCAGTTCTGGCTGGAACCTCACATGTCTGAAGCAAGTTCTCTACTACTAAGCTACATCCCTAGCCTGATCTATGATTTCAAAGTTAGAATTAAGTCAAGTTTATACCCAGTATCAGGATATTTGAAAGACTGTAACATTAACCACATCTATAAGTGTATAATAGATACACAAACTTACTGAGGTGCTCTGAATGTTTGATCCAAAAAACTGAAGGACTTCCAGCATGTTCATTTCAGAACTTCAACTGGCCAGGTGCCCGTGGCTCACACCTGTAATCCCTGCTACTCCGAAGGCAGAGATCAGAACAATCTTGGATCAAAGCGAGCCCGGGCAAATAGTTCACCAGACCCTATTTCAGAAAAAAAAAAATCACAAGAAAGGGCTGGTGGAGTGGCTCAGGTTGTACGCTCTGAGTTCAAACCCCAGTACCACTAAAAAAAAAAAAAAAGAAAACTTAAAATGCATAAAGGCATTTACTTAATTTATTTTATAAGTTGAACTAGACATTACTGTGAAGACCTCATAAAGATGACTGCTAAGCTAATACCTAGAATTAAAACATTTGTAAGTCAAATTCAAAAGACCACAGAAGTCAGAAAAAATATCATGAAATAAGTAGGTTGCCAGTTGTATCACTTTAACATACAACACATCAATTCCGATAATCAGAATAAACTCAGAACAGGTTTTTGTTGCTTGGGATTTTTTTCCTGTGCACTAAAACCAGCCCCAGGGTTCTAAAAACTCCCATTTGACAGATGCTGGTTGTTTGAAGTCTATTCCTGTCCTGTCAGGGAGAGGGGATACAGCCCAACTTCACATCTTTTGTCACTTTGTTCCTGACAGATCTGTGTCTGGCACAAGCACATAACTGTTTGGTTCTTACCTCCTAGTGAGGACAGAGACCTGAAGACAGAGTTGGAAGCAGACAGAAAAAAGAGCCAGGCAAGAGAAGAGATCAGGGGAGGCGGCCCCAAACAGCCAGGACCAGGCAGGGAGAAGCCACCTTTCAGGCTCCACACCCAATGCCCCATTTCCCAAGGGGCCCAAGGAGCTACCCGCCCCCTTTTCTGGCTCTCAGCCTCTTTTTCCACCATCAGGTGGCCCTGCCCAATTCTGTCACCCACACCTGGCTATGCCAGCCCAGCCAAGGCACTGTGGGGGAACCCAGCCTGAGTCCCTGCCTCTTTCTGCTTGGTGGCCTGGGTCCAGGTGAGGGGCAAGGAGGGACTAAGGGGTTTCTCTGCAAATGACCTGGTCTTCTGTGGCTGAAATGCAGGATCGGGGAGACAGAAAGATACAGAGAAACTGATGCTCAGAGCCCATGAGAGAGAGAGAGAGAGACAGATGGGGAATGATGCAGACACAGAGAGAATGAGAAAAACCAGTTGCAGAGAAAAGAAAGGCAAAAGATAGAGACAGAGAGAGACAAAGAGAGACACAGGTATACAGAAATGTGAGCAGAGAACCACAGACACATAAAAGGCACAAGGGACGTCTCAGGACTGATGGGCACATTCTCTGTGTTGACTATGGTGATGGTTTGATGTGCATATGCTGTGTGCATGAAAACTCACCCAACTGTGTACACTTAAACATGCGAAGTTTACTGCACCTCAGTTATACTGCAGAAGAATAAAGCAGGAAGCAAAATGAAAGGCTGGAGGATTCTAAGATTTGATGAATGGAGCATTCAGAATGAGATTTTGCATTCAGCAAAAGATTCTCAGAGGACAAAGAAACAGTGAAATGCTGAGTGAGACACAGAAAGACAGAGAGGGAGTTACATGGACACAGAGAGACTTGAGATGTACAGACAAGCAGGTATCCTATGACAACAGAGAGAAGGAGAGGGGGAGAGAAGAGGGGACACAGAGAGAGAATTCAGTGGGTACCAACCATTGAGGGACCCAGGAAGATTCACTTGGGAAAGACAAAACTCAGAGCAATCAGAAAGTAGAAGAGTTTTTAAAACAGACACAAGGATAGAAGGAGGAATAAGGAAGATGACAGAGGCAACGACTGAAAGGCACAGAGAAGAAAGAACTCTTCATGCTTCTTGAGCATGAAGAGTGACCCAGAGCTGGTGAGAAGCCAGATCTGCCAGCTTGGGGAGGCAAGGGAGGACCTGTCCTTACCTGGGGACCCCTCCCCATTTTCCATGCCAGGGAGGGAATGAGTGGTATTCGGGACTGGGTGGGGGGTGCTCTGGGGGTGGAGGTGAGGGGAGGCAGGAGGAGTGATTGCTGAGGCTGTCTGAGAGGGCGCCTCACTACCCGGGAATGTGCCCCAGGGACCAGTGGGTGGTTATAACCTGGCGGGTGCCTGGTGCAGGAGCCCAAGGAGGTGCGGCAGGAAGGCAGCAGGGGCCTGAGAAGTCTGTAGCAGAGCTGGAATCGGGATTCACACCTACTCCCTCAGTGTCACCTAGACTTGGCAGGTGAGGCCTAGAGAGGGGGCTCACAGGCAGGGAGGGAGAGAGATGAGCCCTGCCTGGCTCTGGTCTTGGATGCACCCTGTCTCCCTCTCTGTCCTCTCTCCTCACAGAGACTGTAGGGTGCTGAAGGTCCTCTGTCCTGAATTATTGGTCTCTGGGTGTCACCTTGGTACCGACCAAGGTGGTCTCTCTCTCCGAGAGAAAATGAGGAAGGGAAGGGCCGGGGAGTGGACTAAGGGTTCCCCAAATCATCTGGACCTTCCTCTGGCCCTTACCAGGTGCAGAAGTCATGGCTACAGCAGGGTCCCCCTGGATGTGGATGCTCGGTGCTCTGATCACAGCACTGGTTCTGGGGGTCACAGGTAACTAGGCCCCGTGTGTGTGTGCGTGTGCGTGTGTGTATGGGACATGGGTGACTATCTATGTAGCAGTGGGACCTGTGTAAAACTGGGTCTGGCCCCAGGATGGGATAAATATGAGTCCGTGTCTGTATTTGTGTTTTGCTATTAAAAGTGGCAAGTGACTGTCCCTGTGTGTGTGTGTGTGTGTGTGTGTGCACGCACGTGCATATGTACGGTCCCTTTTCTCACATCGAGTGACTGTGTGTGACCCTTTGAAGTTATTTTCATGACTGTGTGATGGGGAGGGAGGCGCATTTAAGATTGTGTGTGACTCCACAGCTATGCAGGTGAATGTATGTGGCACCGTGGCTGCTACTCTCTGCTCAGCTGTGTGTGGCTACTTGGCTTTGTGTATTACTGCAGGGATCTGGAGTTCCTGTCTATGTGTCATTGTCCTTGTGCAGCAAGTGTTCATCATCGTGACAATGTCTGAAAGTGCACTTGTGGATAGCCATTTGTGAGTGCATGGCTGTGGTTGGGTGCCTGTATTTGTGACTGTGTGACCAGAGGAATTTTCTAGAGGAGTGACTTGTGTGGGGCTGTGTGAATGCCTCTGTGTGTGTGTGTGTGTGTGTGTGTGTGTGTGTGTGTGTGTGTGTGTGCCTATCTGTCTCTCATTCCAAACCCTGCCTCTAGGAATCCCATGTGCAGAAGAGCTCACTATGAGTTGGTGGCTGTGGAAACTGCTAAGCGATGTACTTGCACTGCATGGAGGGTAGTCTTGCCCCCATGTCAAGGGTACTGTGTGCAGAAGTGTGTGTGTGTGGCAGCCTTCACACATATGCATGTTATATCTAGGCATGTCACTGAGATGCTGGATGGTTGCATGAGGTCCTGCTAGGCTGCTGGACGTGTGTGCCTGGGGAGCATGTGTCACCGCACAGCAGTGTCTCAGCTGTGCCTCTGGACACAATGCGTGTGCACATTGGGCTATGATTCCACTGTGCGTGGATTTCTTGGAGTGTGCAGGTGAACGCAGGCGACACTAGGGCCTCCCTTCTCTGGGGCACCAGCAGGAACACGAAACTACTATTGGCTTGTGGGAGCGGGGTGGGGTGGAGACCGATGACGGACCAGGTGTCCCTATGCAGGTCTGTGTGAAAGGAGGGTACAATTCACGAGGTACATTTATGGCTGAGAATACAGAAAGCCAGCCCTGCTCTGCCCCTCCCTGCTACCCACCAAGTGTGTCCTGCTCCCCAACCCTAACTCCGCCCATGAGCTCTAACTCTACCCCATTTCCTCAGCCATGCCGCTAAGTTAGACTTTATCTCGCTTGCGCCCCTTGGGCTGTGCTCCACACCCAGCCAGTTGTCTCAACATCCCATCCCTTTCAGCCAGGCTCCACCCCCTGTGACGTAACAGCTCCTAGAGCCCAGTCCCCACCTCAGGGCTCTTTATAGAATCCACTGCCTAGTGTAACTTTGGCCTGCTCCCTGCCGATCATTACAAGCGTCCCCCTTATGCCAGGCTCTGCTGTCTCCAACTTTGGCCCCATTCGTTGGGTCCTGGCCTCACTTTTTGTGACTAGGTTCCCTTCCCTACAGCCCTGGCTGTACCCAATTTTATCCTCCCCTGTTCTCACCATTGAGTTCTAACCAATCCCAGGAACACTTGAAGTCCATCAGAGCCCGGGAACCCCACTTAAGCCTAGGCTCTGTCCTTGTGTCCGAGCTATTGGGTGACTCTATCCTAATTCTTCAGAATCCATCTCTGTAGCTCCGCCTCTTCTCCTGCAGCCTAGGCCCCGCCCCTAAGCTGCTGCACCAGGAGGATCCACCAGGGCCAGACATCCTCTGACTGGTCCATTGTGCCAGTGTAAGCCACACCCCTCACGTAATCCCCGCCCCCCGAATCATGCCCCGCCCATTTTCTGCACTCAGAGCCTGTTGCTTTTGTTGTTGTTAGCATGTAATAGTTATACAGGGGAATACATTGTCATATTTACATATGTGCTTACAATGTATCCTAATTAGACTTACTCCATTGTTCTCCCTCATGCCCCCCAAACCCCCCTTCTTAGGACAATTTCAATAAATTTCATTATTCTATTTTCATACATGAATACAAAATACATCCACCATATTTGCCCCCCTTCACCCCTTCCTTATGCCCTCCCCCTCCCACCGATACCCACCCCTGCAAAAGATCTGTTTTACCCTCCTGCCCTTCATTTTTTTAAAGTGTATATTGATAGTACAAGAAGGTTTCATAAGGCCGGTTTCCGTAGTGTAGTGGTTATCACGTTCGCCTCACACAAGAAGGTTTCATATATATTTTCAGACACATATATATGATGCTTTAATCGGATTAACCTCCCTCAGAGCCCGTTCTTGCAAATGATGTTGAATCCTGTGACAACCCCTCTGCCAAGGGGTCCTCTGGAAGCAACCGGGACCTTGGAGGCAAAGCTGGGGATGACACCAGGTCAGATGACAGCAGTGCCCGCATCGTGAACGGATCGGACTGTGAGAAGGATGCCCAGCCTTGGCAGGGCGCGCTGCTGCTGGGACCCAACAAGCTGTACTGTGGGGCTGTGCTGGTGAATCCCCAATGGTTGCTCACGGCTGCCCACTGCAGGAAACCGTGAGTGGGGTTCCCAGTGACACCGAGGCTGGGAATGGGGAGAGAAGAGGCCTGGAAGCCACAGGAAGGGCTGGGGACCAGGCAGGAAGAGGAGGGAGAGCTGGGGATGGGATTAAGGGTGACTATGAGGCCACCCTGTGTTGGGGATGGGTTGGATTTGGGGTTAGGAATATTTATACTCATTGAACAGGTTTGGAACAGAGATGGGATTAGGATTGGTTTTTAAATTGGGGCTTGGATGAAGATGAGGTTGGGAAGGAGTGGGGCTGGGGTAAGCAGTAGAGGTGGGTTTGAAGAAAGGCTTGAGGTGAAAGTAGAAAAGGAATTGGCAGGTCTCTGGATGTGGGGTTAGCAGTGGTTGGGCTTGGGGTTTGGGAAGGCAAATGCAGATGATTGGGGATGGGGTGTACAGTTGGGTTTGAGGTTGGAGATTGTTTGAGTGTAGGGCTAGACATGCCTGTGTTGATGGTTGGGGTGGAATTAGGGTTATTTTTCTAGAATGGAGGTTAGGCGGGAATTGGGATGATGTGGGAATAAAGATAGAGCTGAGACTGGAAATAAGTGTAGAAGTGAACGTGGAGTTGGACTTGGGCTCTCGGGGAGAGAGATGGTTAGATTTGAGGTTGCAGATGGTTGGGTTAGATTAGATTGGATTAGATTGTACGGTTAGATTTGGAGTTCAGAGCAGCCATGTTGGTAGTTTCTGGGCAGGGAAGGCTCAGGGCTGGGGCTATCCTTTGGGGGATGGGATGGGGTTGAGAGAAAGATGGAATGAGGGATATGCTGTGGCTGGGGTTGGGACTGGTGTTGTATATGGGGACCCAGACTGGCGGCCACCTGCTCCATCTTGTTCAGCGTTTACAGAGTCCGTCTTGGCCACCACTCCTTGTCACCTCTATATGAGACTGGACAGCAGATGTTTCAAGGAATTAAATCCATCCCCCACCCTGGCTACTGCCACCCCAGGCACTCTAATGACCTCATGCTCGTCAAACTGGACAAGAAAATCCAAAACACACATGCAGTCAAGCCCATCACCATATCTCCCCATTGTCCCTCTGTTGGGACCCAGTGCATGGTGTCCGGCTGGGGAACCACCAGCAGCCCCCAAAGTGAGTGTCCAATATCCTCTTGTCCCCACCCATCTCCATCCATCTCCATCTGTCCCCACCTCTCACTGCTGTCTTATTTGACAGATAACTTCCCCAAGGTCCTCCAGTGTTTGAACATCACTGTGCTAAGTGAGGAGAGGTGCAAGAAAGCCTACCCAGGACAGATAGACCAAACCATGTTCTGTGCCGGCGACGAAGCAGGGAGAGACTCCTGCCAGGTGAGGACTGGAGACTTCTCCGACTTTGGCAGAATCACACTGAGTGCAAAACCATGTAACCTGCAACTGTGCTAGGTGCTGGGAATCCAGTGATGACCAGAGAGTTAGGACTCTTCGTTCTCATGGGTTGATATTCTATAGCAACAATGCCCAATAGAAATACATTATGAAGGGCCGGGTGAGGTAGAGCATGCCTGTAATCTCAGCTACTCAGGAGGCAGAGATTGGGAGGATCACAGTTGGAGGCCAGCCCAGACAAAAAGTTAGTGAGAACCATCTCAACAAACAAGGTGGACATAGTGGTGCATGCCTATAACCCTAACCTATGAGGGACAGTCTAAGGTTAGCCCTGGGCAAAAAGGTGAGACCCTATCTGAAAAATAACTACAGCATAAAAGTGCTGGGTTCTGAGTTCAAACTTCAGCACTGCAAAAAATTAAAAAAAGATGCAGGTGAAATTAATATTAATAATTTATTTTATTTAATTCACAATACCCCAGGTGACATGATTTCATGATTAATATAGAACAGTTATGAATGAGATACTTGACAGGTTTTTTTTCCAGGCCAGTATGTATTTCTACACTGACAGCAGACATCAATTCGTGGCCAGCTTTCAGGTGTTTGGTGGCCACATGTGGTCAGCGGCCACCTGCACTGGACAGGTGTAGACGAGAGATGAAGGCTGCTGTCTGAGGCTGGGAAGGTTGAGCACTGCTTCAAGAAACCACATCTGACTGGGGTTAGCTCAGTGATAGAGGGCTGCCTAGCATGTGCAAGGCCCTGGCCTCAGTCCACAGCGAGAGAGAGAGGGAGAAAGAGAGAGAGTTCCAGGAAAAAAGATACCACATCTAAGGATCTACCTTCACATATGGTCCTTATACTTTCATCTCTTTGTTTGAGCAGTTTTCAGACACATGGGAGTCAAGTGTCTCTTTTCAACACACTCTGTAAGTTTTCAACACACTCCGACAGTTTTCCAACAAATGCTAGTAAAATGTCTTGAGGAAGGAGAAGAGAAAACCTATGCTAGTCCTTTTAAAGAGAATTTAGTATAGGTTAGAGTTGTTGAAACTGCTGGAGGAGTGAAAAGTGAAAGGCAGAGAAAAGCAAAACAAAAGTAGGGTCAAGAAACTGCAGAAAAAAAGAGATGTCAGAAAGTGGAGAAAGAAAACATGTTTTTTTGTTTTTTGTTTTTAGTGGGACTGGGGTTTGAACTCAGGGCTTTGCACTTGCAAGGCAGGCGCCCTACCGCTTCAGCCACACCTCCAGTCCATTTGTGCTGATTATCTTGTAGATCTTGAACCCAGATCCTCCAGATAGATCTCAACCTCTCAATAGCAGGATTACAGGTGTGAGCCACCAGTGCCACCTGAATTTTATTTTGTTGCTGTTGTTTTGATTTGGTTTGGTTTTTTGATACAGGATCTGTCTATGTAGCCCAGGCTGACCTTGAACTTGTGATCTTCCTGCCTCAGCCTCACAGATGCTTGGATTTCAGGTGTGTGCCACTATGACAAGCTAAAACATGATTTTATGCTAGCAAATAATGGGAGCAATATTTAAAATGCTGGTCAGGAGAGTGTGCTTGGAGAGGTGGCAGGTGAGCAGAGACTGAACCACACCATGGAGCCAGATTCATAAAGGTTAGAGGGACCGAAAAAGTCATGTGCAAAGGCCCTGAGGTTGGAAGGAGTTTCCTTTCAAAGAATAGGAAGAAACCAGTAAGCTTTTCTAGGGAACGAAGTGGGGAGACTGGAGAAGTGAACAGGTGCCAATATTCAGCAACTATGTCTGAATTGCTAAAAACAAAGATTTTCTATGTTCTCCTGGAAGCTTTGTCTGCTGAAGTAGGCAGAAGTTAAGTTAAACTGTTACAACCTCCTCTGCATTCAGGTTCCCAAGGGTTCTGGAGGGATGTAAGTTAACTGGCTCCCCAATTGCAGGACGTAAGCTCCATCAGTTGTTTTGACTTTTAGTGAGCTGTGAACCCCAGCAGCACCAGAGCCCATCCAGATGGCTGTGAAAAGTCCCCCCTCCCCACCCCCCAATTCTACAAACCTGACAACACAAACGACTTCCTGGACCTCCCAGGTCCACTTCTGTCCCCCTGTGACATTGTAAGTGCCACGGTGGGTGAGGGAATTTATCAGAAAAAGAAAGCATGTCTAACTCAAACTCAGAGCCGTTGGATAGCCAAAAGCAGTACCTTCTTTTTCCAACCTCGAGGTGTTTTTCATGCCAGCCTTCATCTGGGTGTGACCACTAGAAGCTACAAGCAGGAAAAAATAACAAACTACCAGATGAATACTAATGGTATAATAACAACAGGAGCAAATTAATCATGGGCGCTGTCCTTTACATGAATCCACTTATTAATCATCTCCCTGCTTTTATTTAGCTTTATTTTACAGACAAGAAGCCAAGGTTCAGAGCAGTTACCTAACGGTCTCTTGAAAAATCTCTGCAGAGTGTTAAACAAAAATTCATGGGCAGGGTGGTTCACACCTGTAATCCCAGCACTCAGGAGATGAAAGCAGGAGGATCAGGAGTTTGATGTCAGCCTAGGCTACATAGTGAGACCCTGTCTCAAAAATGTAATAATAAAAATGAGAAGTGAAAGCCCAGGAAAGGTGAACTTTGGAGGTTCAGGTGGTCAACCTCTCTTGCCTAGAACGGTCTCTGAAGTCAGGTGCAGTGGTGCTCTTCTTTAATCTCAGCACTTGGAAGGCAGAGGTGGGAAGATCAAAAGTTCCAGGGCAGTCTGTGCTGTATAGTGAGATCTTGTCTCAAAAAACTAAAAATAAAGAAAGACAGAAAAGAAGGGAGGGAGGAAGGAAGGAAATGGAACAGAGGAGAAGGGAGGGGGAAGAAGGGGAAGGGAAGGGAGAAGAAAGAAAGAAAGGGAGGAAAGGAAGGAAGGGAGGGAGGGAGGGAGGGACTCAGGCATGCAAAAGTTAATACCAGGACTTCATGTGGTTATTCATATTTTGGATAATACAAATTTTACTTAACATAAACGTAACTAAGAAACAGGGGAGGAAGAAGTATTCCATAGGAGAAATGAGGCGTGCAGAAGGTAACTTGCGCCTTTAATCCTAGCTACTTGGGAGGCTGAGATCAGGAGGATTACAGTTCGAGGCCAGCTTGTGCAAATAGTTCTGGAGACCCTATATCCAAAACAACCAGTGCAAAATGGACTGGAGGTGTGACTCAAGCAGTAGAGTGCCTGCTTTGCAAGTGCAAAGTCCTGAATTCAAACCCTGGTCCTGCCAAAAACAAAACAAAACAAAACTAGAGCTGGGGTAAAATATTAATAAATTCTCTTCTCTCTCTCTCTGTGTGTCTTTCTCTGTCTGTCTGTCTCTCTCTCTCTCTCTCACTCGTTTCACCCATGTCTGTACCCTGTGTCTCTTCGTGCCGTGTGTCCACCTATCTGTGTCTTGGGCCCCGGACCTTTTCCATCTGGGTGTGGCTCTGGGTGTCCTGTGTCTCCTTCCTCCCCCTCACCACATCTCTGCCCCTGCTTGTGCCTCTCTTCCTCCCCCACAGGGTGACTCTGGGGGCCCTGTGGTTTGCAATGGCCAACTCCAGGGCCTCGTGTCCTGGGGGGACTACCCCTGTGCACAACCCAACAGGCCAGGTGTCTACACCAAACTCTGCCAGTTCTACAAGTGGATTAATGACACCATCAAGGCCAACTCATGAGTCATCCCAGGACCCAGCATGCTGGCGTCTTCTACCATACCAGGGACTGCATTCCTCCCTGAACATGTTGGTGACATCAAGCTCTCCAGTTGTCATTCATGTCCCCTGGAATCAGGAGCTCCCGTCCCCAGCAGGGGACTGGCCCTGTCTCTGGCTAGATGCTGGTACAATTCCCAGAGTGACAAGGGAGGGCTGCAACTCAGTCTCCCTCAACTATCCTCAATGCCCAAGTCCAGTCTTGTCTATGAACATGATCCAAATTTAGTCCCCAAAATAAAACATACAAGAAGTGACCTCTGTGTGCGCGTCTCCTGTCTGCACTGGGCAGTTGTGAGTTTGTGGCTTCCCCCTCCAGCCACTGGATTTGCTCCACTGGGTCACTGTGCTTGCCAGAAACAAAATGGACTGGTGAGTGGCTCAAGTGGTAGAGCGCCTGCCTAGCAAGCTTGAGGCCCTGAGTTCAAACTCCAGTAATGCCCCCAAAAAAGAAATAAATGTGTTCATACTGCAATAGTAATAATAACTATAATAATACGGACAAACAAGAGAGGGCTTGAGGCAAGAGAAAGAATGTTGCAGACAAGGGTTTTCTTTGTACTGGACGGTTGGGGAGTGTGTGGAAGGCAACCTAGCAGTCCCCCGAATAATGTCCTCGTCCTGATTTCTAGACCCTGTGACTATGTTACCTCATTCATTGACTCACAATGGTTAGATTTATGATTTTTTTTGGCTTTACAGTGGTGCAGAAACAGCAGGCATCCAATAGAAGCCATATATCAAGTTTTGAATTTTGATCTCTTGCCAGACTAACAATCCGTGATCTGACACCATTATGTTCTCCAAAGGCTCATGAACTAACGGTTTCATCTGCAGCTGGTGGCACTACTGGTTGCTGGTGGGGACTTTAGGAGGTGAGGCCTGGATGGAGGAAGTTAGGTCACCGGGGACAAAATGGGATCCCACCCTTTCCTCTCTTTTTCCCCCTCCTCCTTCCCAGTCACCATGATGTGAGCAGTTTCCTCTGCCATAGGCTCCTACCAGCCCAAAGGCCAACAGGGCCAAACAACCATGGATGGAAACCTCTGGAGTCATAAATCTTTCATTCTTTTACATGGTGTGACTCAGGTATTTTGTCACAGCAACAGAAAGCTGACTAACACAGATATCTCAGGCAACAAACGACAGCTCCATCAGCCATGAGAGACTAAGGAAAAACAGCTGACACTCCATAGTGTACCCTAATGGTATATACCTGCAATGGCATATTAGGTATATTGAATGTATTTTCTTCTTTTTTTTTTTCTTTTTTTTTTTTTGGCAGTAATAGAGGTTGAACTCAGGGCCTTTCACTTGCTAGGCAGGTGCTCTACCCCTTGAGCCACACCTCCAGTCCATTCTGCTCTGGCTATTTTGGAGATGGTGTCTATCAAACTATTTGCCTTGAACTGAGATCCTCCCTATCTCAGCCTCCCTAGGATTACAGACTATGCTGTGAGTTTTGAAGCTAAAGGAAGGGGCCATGAGCCTAGGTTTACAGGCAGCCTCTAGAAGCTGGAAGGGCACAAGAATGATTCTCTCGCCAAGAGTTTCCGAAAGGAAAGAGTCCTACCAGCACCCTGATTTCTTCTCAGGGACACCATTTTGGATTTCTGACCTCCAGGGTTGTAAGAGAATCAACCTGTGCTGTTTTAAGCTTCTAATTGTCACGGCAGCCACAAGTAACCAATAGAAAGGAAGGACCTCTCCGAGGGTGTGGCATTTGAGCTGCAACCTGCAGGATGAAAACTGACTGTCCCCGTGGATGTCCAGGGCCCTGGTTGTCCAGACAGAGAGGAACAAATGCAAAGACCTGACAGTGGAAGGGGCGGGGCTTTCCCTAGGAACTGGAAGATGACCTCGGGACCGGATGTTTGCTAGTTTTTCCCTAAGAGGTTGGGGAGTGTTTGCAGGTTTTTACACCAAATAGTATTATAATCTGGTTTATGCTCCAAGAAGATCCTTCTGGCTCTTTGTGGAAATCAAAATGGAGCAATTTGTTGGCCCAGGAGAGCAATTATCAAAAGAATATCCATGAATTTCAACTGGAAAAGGGCAGGGCAGGGGCCTCTGCCAGAAAGATCTCCATTTCTTCTGTTCTCATCTTTCCTGGCTCACTTTCTCCAATGGGCATCCTGTTTCCTCATGACATAGACTGCAGGTAGCCTATCAGAGCAGCTCCTGCCTCCTGCTAACTGGCTCCTTTTATTGGCTTTTCTCAGTGCACAGCCCTCATATAGAGAAATATGACTGGCTTAGCCTGGGTCAGATGTTGACTCTGGGTCCAATCAGTGATGGCCCAGAAAGGCCTCCAGGGCCATCCAGTACACCATGGATCTCCCATCATTTCTTCATCAACAGCAGCAGGCTGGATGGGGTCTCTAAAAAGGCAGTAGGCATAGTAGTCAATGAAGTGGATGATTCATCAAGAGACGTTTTAGGGTGGTGTGTGGCTCAGGGGGAGAGGCTTTGCTTAGCAAAGACCTTGGGTTCCATCTCCAACACTGCACAACAGAGAGTATGGGTGGATGGATGAATGGGTAGATAGACAGACAAGAGACAGGGAGAAGGAGAGAGGGAGACTGAGGGGTTTTCATCTTCACCACTTTCTAAATGACCTCTGTGAAGTCTTGTCCTCTCCCTAGAACTCACTTTGTCCATTTGGAAGGGTTGGAATGTAATGAGCTCCCTGTGCCAATACAACTCTGATATTCCACCTTGTCCTTGGGGGTGGACACAGAAAGTTATTCCTAGCAATACTTTGGAAATCAACACTCTAGGAAAAGAGTTACATTTGTCATCAAAACACCAAACTAAAAGTAGAGTAAATAATGGCAGTATGACCCCATAAAACAAAAGGCCCCCAAGAGGACTATCATGGGATGGCTGTGATTCATAAATGATGTAGTAAGGAGCTCAGCTCACTTCTTCACCCAGGTCCAAATTTATTCATGCCTCAACTATGAGCACCTGTGCAGGCCAGGTACCACTGCAGACACTCGGGATAGAGTAACAAACAAAAAAGACCCCTCCACACACACTTATATCTGTGTAGCTCATGAAGGCTGTTTATGGTTATCTATACTTCGTTCTCATTCGTGTCTGGTGTGCCATTGTGTAAATGTGCTCCATTTTCACTGTGAATGGGTATTTGAGTAGCTTCTAGTTTAACAGTTGTAAAGATGACGGGCCGATGAAACACTGGACTTCAGGAGAAGCAGTGTGCTTGCCTCTCCACTCAGCAAAGAGACAGATGCCATTCTCAAGCTGCCTCTTGCTATGTCTGTAGACATTCCATCTCAAGTTCGAGGTCAAGGGGGAGCGGGAGATCAAAGGCAGATGTGTGGACCAAGAGGGAGAGGCTGGTGTATGGAGAAATTGTCTGACTCTGCACAAGATAAGCTGAGCGCAATTAAGATGAGCTTATCATTTTTCCTACCTCATGTTTGTCAAACCCAACTATTGCACAACTTGGCTGGCACACGACTGGGAATCACCCAGGCAACCATGCCACCCATCTATGCAGTAAGATGTAAGCTGAAACTTACCCCTGCAATTTCCTGAGAACTTCTTGGTTTGCTGATAGAAGGGAGAGAGGAGTGTTTGGACCCTCCCTCTCTTCTCACCTGGAAGGTGGGTGCCCAGCGCTGGACCAGCCATCTTGCACCTCAAGATTAAAAGCCACACCATGAAAAGGGGTTGCAAGAAGCCAACTGCAGTTCCCACATTGGTGATTCCTTTGTGCTCCAGGTTGGATTTAGATCACTGAGAATAAAATCTAAAGTGTCAGCCGGGCACCGGTGGCTCACACCTGTAATCCTAGCTACTCAGTAGGCAGAAATTAGGAAGATCATGGTTCAAAACCAGCCCTGGACAAATAGTTTGGGAGACCCTATCTGGAAAAAACCCATTCCAAAAAAGTGCTGACAGAGTGGCTCAAGGTGAAGGCCCTGACTTCAAAGCCCCAGTACCACAAAAAAGAAAAAAGAAAAAAAAAAAACAGGATAAAAATGACGTTTGCAGAAGCAGAGCCCCAGAAGCTAACCTGCTAACGAGGAGGTGTTGGACTCATTTGTTATCAGCAAACCACAAGCTGAAGCAACAATGAGAGGTCACCTTACAGGGATTAGGCTGGGGAAATGAGAAGGGTGGGTGGTGTCGCGTGTGCTCAGGGTGAACAGCATGTTCGGGTTCTACCTGGCGGAGTGCAGCGCCTCTGGTTCTGAAGATGGATCCCTCACTGGTTCATCAAAAGGAATAGACACCTACACCCTGTGACTCAGGGATTTCTCTCCTGGCTATGCAGCCCAAAGAAATGCCTCCCCACCCACAAGGGGACACGTACACGCTTGTGCCTCCCAGTGCTCTTTGTGGTAGCCCGAAGATGGAAGCCAAAAGTGTGTCTATAGCCAGGTGAATTGTGGGTGGCCAGCAGCAGGTGTAGGAACACACAGCAACATGGATGGGTCTCACCAACAGAGCACAAGTATAAAAAAAAATTTGAAAAGCTGGGCATGGGTTTGTACCTGTAGTTCCAGCACTCAGGAGGCTGAGTCAGGAGGACCATGAGTTTGAGGCCAGCCTGGGCTATCTAGCAAGAACCTATCTCAAAAACAAAAAACAAAAATAAAAAAAAGAAGAAGAAAGAAGAAGAAGAAGAAAGAACAGCACTTGGAATTGAATGAGTTTTAGTATTCAGTGCCAATGACATTAATTAAAATTACTCATCTATATAAGAACCATAATGCAGCCGGGCAGATGCAGTGACTCGAACCTATAATCCCAGCCACTTGGGAGGCAGAGGTGAGGAGGATCAAAGTCCAAAGCAAAAAATTTGAGACCCTATCTGAAAAAGAGGGTCTCTTTTTTTAAAGCAAAAAAGGCTAGGTACATGACTCAAGTAGTACAGCACCTGCCTAGCAAGTGAGAAGCCCTGAGTTCAAAACCCGAGTACCACCAGAAAA